GATTCCAGAGGGGTAAATGCTTTAATCTGGTTCTATGAAGACTAACAAGGAGTGTTTTGGTATGTTAAAGACTAACAAATTTATAATGGAAGAAGCTTTCACAGATAAGAGACTACTTCATCAGATGCATGAAGTGTATTCTCAGTTGATAGGTACATAGTATGGATGCATGCTCATGCACACAGGCATAGGGGAGGGGAAATCGAAGTAAGGGCCATGAAATGCAAGAAACATCTGTGATGTTTCTATGCAACACACAAATGTGTACAAGATAAGTTTAGTAATCACTGAAACCAGCAATAATTGTCATCCTTGTTCTCTGTTTAAGCGTCACACACAGATGCAATTAAGTTTGCCGATAAATTCTAGTGCAGACATTTCGCAGCAGACTTTCCCTTTGACTAGGGTTGTCACGTCCCTTGTGGCTACTGGCAAGAAATGGGCGGTAATGTTGCCAGCTCCCCATTGGGAAACTCCTGGAGGTGTTGGGGATGGAGCCTGGGGAGGACTGGGACCTTGGTGGGGGGCAATGCCATACAGTCCACCCTCCAACGCATCCATTTTCTCCATGGGAACATAAGAGAAGCCAATGTTGGATCAGGCCAATGGCCCATCCAGTCCAACACTCTGTCAGACAGCTTTGCTTTTTGGCATTAATATCAGGAGCCCCTGTTTTGATTAGTTGGGTGGGTGGGGATTGAAGAGTTAAATCCTTTTACTTGTGGCCATGATTCAAATCAACACCCTCCCCAACCCTGCACATGTAATTTTCCTCTTACAATCAGGTTATCAGTGATCTTCATTGAATCTGATTGTGCCCTCTAGAGTTCAATGCATTTGAGGAACCAACTTTGTGACATTTTATTCCAATGCTTCAGGTGCAGCCCAGAGGTTCCTGCAAAAGGATTCTTTCCCCCTTCTCTGCTGCCTCGTGAACTTTACCAATAAACAAATGTGGTTTTACAAGCTTCAGTCTGTCTCGTTCCAGCCATTGTTGTGTGTGGTGACCCTATGCAGAGTGGTGCAACATTCCACGTAATGCAGAGATGGACCCGGGTTTATGGCTCTGCCTCTTTGCATGGACAACTTTCCCAGTCCAGCTAACAGGTAGATATGTCTTCTTGGGGCTATAGGGGAGGTTAGGCTGAGAGCATGTGACTGTCCTAAAGTCACCCACCAAGCTTCCATGGCAGAGAGGGAATTCAAAACTGGATCTCCCCAATCTTAGCCTGACACCCTAGCCACTATACCCTGCTGCTGCAGGAGATAAGGTTCAAGACTGATGCTTTGTCCTGTTCTGATTCCGTTTCCCCCACACCTGTGCTAAGGATTAACCAGCAGAGAAGCAGTTGTGCAAAACTCAACTTCTGATGGTCAAGACTTGGGAAGGTATGTGGTGGAGGAAGCCATGAAGACCTTCAAGAGCCACTTGGTCAGAGGTTGCGCTTCCAGTCCGAAGGAGCGAATGAGGTGAGCTGCTAGTTCAAGCAATGGTGCTTTTGTGCTGGAGGGTTTCTCTCACTCTTCCCGCCCATACCACAGAACCATAGAAAGGTTCACGTTATCCTCCATAGCATTACCTCATTCAGGGGTCCTCAGTGTGGCACCCATGGGTGCCATGGTGTTGCCAACACCTTCTTTGGTGCACACCAAATGTTTTTAGGAGGTGGACAGGGCCAGGTAGGGCTTTTCTGCCCAGCAGGGCTTCTGATTGGCCACTGGAGATATGACTGGCTGCCCTGTGCAGATTAAAAGGTATATAGCATATGGTAAACAGGATCCTATTATGTAATTTCTGTACATCTTAATATGTCATGTTAACACTTATGCTATGATCCTGTTCTTTCTGGTGGTTCCAGTCTTAGTTATATATGTGTGTCTGTGTGTATATATTTTTTTTGCCATTTAAGGGGATACAGTATAAAAAAGGGGTAAAAGGGGAAATAAGGAGCATAAAGCATCATTTGTTAAACACCTTTTAAGGACATTACTTAATATGAAAATATAAAACATGAAAAGATAGCATGACAAGCCACAATATAATGAAAACAATCTATACTTCCACATAATATATTTCCATTATTTCCTATTTATAGGGCTGATTGGTGGTTCCAGTCTTGTAATATCCTAATGGATTAGTTACTGAATATCTGTTAAACAGAGGGTCTGCCTGAAATGTTGAAGAGTTACTACGAGTGTTATTATTATATATTAAATTTATATACCGCCCATAGCCAAAGCTATGCATAATCTCACTCTCTGACATTTTGTGGTTGGCCTTGCCTCTGGTGGCAGCCATTTTGTGGTCACACTCACCACCCTGTGATCAGAATTCCAAAGGTGCCTGCAGGCTCAAAAAGTTTGGGGAGTCCTTGATTTGTGTGAGAACCTGCTTTTCTTCAGGGGTGGTCATTTGAAATATTCCAGCTACTTCTCATGGAGTATTTTGTACCATTTTGTACTTGAGTGCACGTATCAAACTACAAAATGCAGACATACCTGGCCAGTTATGAAGGATGCATCAATGTTTCAATCCCAGTTTTATATAAATCAATTACAGAGCCACAGATAGGATTCTGTGTACAGTTCCAATCACGTCATCTCAAAAAGGATATCAGGGAGCTGAAAAAGATGCCGAAAAGGGTAACCAAATGAGCAATAATTCCAGAAGGGTATCTATGTTAGTCTGCATAGCAAAAGTAAACATATATCTCCTAAGGACGTACATACCATGCATCTGAAGAAACGTGGTCTGTCTCATGAAAGCAAATGCTCCAACAAGTTGTTGTGAGTCTTTTAAGGTGCCACACCACTGGATTTGTGCTCAAAATGATCAAGTTGTTGGAGTCCTTTTCCTATGAGGAAAGGTTAAAGCATTTGGAGTTAGATCCAGATTGAATTCTCCATCAGCAGAATGGAACATTCCTGCCTCTCTTTTTCCATTTCAGTCTACTGATCGCCAGGAGACGTTGCTCCAGGGGGAGAGGGGACCTTGAGGAATGACAGGGGGAATCAGTGGAAACTGACCATTTAGCTTAGATCCAGCTCTTGGGAAGTTCAAATAAAAAGCCAGTTAAGGAAGGGAATGAGAGAGGTTTGTGGAATGGCTCTCAGAGAAGCAGGGGGAGAGAATCTTCCAGCTTGAAACACTTGATCCGTTATCTGGTATCTTCCAAGCAGGTCTCTGGAGAGGCAGCATACACATTTTCTAAATAAATTATTACTTTGCATTACAGTCAGTTGAGAAATGGCAAACAGAAGTGCATGCATAGTTGACGTGTGCAATTAGAAGTCACTCTCCAGCTGTACTAGATGGTTCTTGAAAAATTGTGGTGATGTAGATTCATGGGAGTTCAGAGTCCATCACATCCAGTGTATACTTTTACCTGGGTTTTTTTTGAAAGAAATGGCCCTTACTATGAATAGGAAGAAGAGAGGAGCCCTTTGGAATTCATACAGCTAGTTACTAGTTATATGTTACCTTTCTCCCTCTCCTATCTTATCTCAATATACCGTTCCATGTCAGGTCTTCTTGGAGGTTACGTACATACACTTACTGCTACAGAAACTAGTAAAAGGATTTTGGAAAGTAGTAGTATTATTTTCATTTAAACTCACCATGCTGCCCAGTGGGGACCCAAAGTAGATTGCATATATATGTGGGGAAGGTAGAACATCAGAGCTGGATAGAGAAGGAGGTATTTTTCAAAGCTGTCCACTGGACTGGATGTTCCTCTTGCAGGCTTTTGTTGAGTGTTCGTAGGCACAGCCTCTAGGCATCTGCTCGGTCCTCCAGCCGTCTAAGTTTGAAGCCTGGATCTTACAACAAATACCCCAATTGTCATTTGGCAGCAGCCCTATGAATGAGGCATCCTTCCTCTCTACACTTGCCCATCTGTACGGGTGTTTGTCTAAGTCTCAGTCCTCTGTCACAAATTCTCCTCTACAGAGCCAAACAAAACCTGGAGAAGACGTTGCTGGAAGTCAATACGTCACAGGAGAATCTCACTGTGGCTCATCAAGATGTACAAACATTGATATTTAGAATAAAGCCCAACGATTTCATAGGGCTGAATATCAGCAGTGACATGTTAACGGTCAGTATCTCATTACCTGCTGTTTGATTTGTGCTGCTGAGCATAAATGTTAAGTTTTAGCCCTTCTGGAGAATGTAGGAAATTTAAGAAGGAGCCTCAAGCTGACTCCAGCACTGACTCCAGTGTTCATTTGGGCCTTGTTCTCCCTAAGGCAGTGAACCTGGTGGCCAACTTAACACGTTATGGAGTAGACAGGTGGGAGCATAACAGTCAGACATGAACTGCCAGTTCTCCTCAGTTTCTGTGTGCAGGGTGCCTGATTCAGATCGGGACTGTGCTAGAGTCGCCTGCTCTGGGTGGGGAAATACCTGGAGATTTGGGGGATGGAGCCTGGTGAGGGGGAGGGGGAGGGACCTCAGTAGGGTACATTGCCATAGAGTGCACCCTCCAGAGTATCCGTTTTCTCCAGGGGAACTGATCACTGTAGTCTGGAGATGATCTGTAATTCCAGGGGATCTCCACGTCCCACCTGTATGTTGGCGATCCTAATTGTGGCACTTGGGGAAAGGGGTTCCGACCCCCCACCCAGTGCCATCTTTCCAACCAGGAAGGCTGTTTGTTGGCCCGTTGGGGGAAACCCACATTTCCCCGAGTTTCCACGTTGGAAAATCAGCATGAGATTGAAGGCTACAGCCCCTCCTACATGCATGCCGTGGTTCCAGCCCAAACTGGGCGCCCCACGTGTGAGAACTGAGGAGATCCTGCAACTCGGTTCTGACTGTTATGCAGGGCAGGAACCAAACCCGTGTGCTCCATTAACGTGTGAATCAGCTTCAGGTCTGGGCCGTACCGCTTTAGAATGCAGGTGGGCCTCTTTCATTTCCCTTCATGCTTTATTTATATTTGTCATGTGTTAAAACAAATAACTGCAAATGACTGGAATGCCAACAGATCAAAGCATCCATGAAGACCCAGACGCGACACGCCATGAGTTTCCCGACTGCACTGACAGAGAGGGTCCGGGCCTTGCCTGCAAAGGAGATGAGACTGGCCTGCATTTACCTGAAAGCTTCCTGCCTCTTCCAGGTGAGGCGCGCCTTAGGCCGAGTGATGGGGTGACGATGCCTGCAGAAGCCGAGCCTGTTGGGGAGTGTTATGCTGGCATGATGGCCTGCTCTCGAAGACAGGAGTTGGATCCAGGCTAGATTTTCCACTGGCTGTTCTGTCCATGAAAGAGAACTTTTCTGCCTCCCCCCTCCTGCTGATACATACATACATACACATTTGATTTATATACCGCTCCTTCCCGAAGGCTCGGAGCGGTTTACAGACAATTTAACATTCTAACTAGGGCCACAATACTTTAGGGGAAGAGGTGAGTGCCTACCAGGTACCCAGTGGGTGTGTTCTTTTTCCCCCACAGTTGTTCTGCCGGCTTTTTCCTCGGTGGGTTCTTTCCTTCTTTCTCCAGGCGTCGGTACCTTCGGGTCGGATGTGGTTCTACGTGACCCCTTTCGGAGCGCAACTCTGCTACGACCGTAGTATCTGGCCTCCGTCCTGATAGGCACCAGCCTCCCTGTGTCACCGCGTCCCCAAAATGCTGCTCCTGGGGGATAGTTAGGCTTGCCTGCTCCTGAGGGGAAAATTCTTGGCAATTTAGGAGTGGAGCCATGGGGAGGGCGGGGTTTGGGGAGAGGAGGGGCCTCAGCAGGCTGGGATGCCATAGGCTTCACCCTCCTCCAAAGCAGCTGTTTTTCTTCGTGGGAACTGAACTCTGCTGTTTTGAGATCAGTTACAATCAGAGGTCGATTCGGGGGGATCGCGGGGGGATTGCCGTTCCCCCGGGTGAGGTGCGGGGCACACGATGAAGCCCCGCCCCCTGCTTCCGGCCGCCCCGCTTCCGGCCCTCATTCAGCCAGGAGGAGGCAGGAGAAGTTACTTGAAAGCTTCCTGCCTCTTCCAGGTGAGGCGCGCCTTAGGCCGAGTGATGGGGTGACGATGCCTGCAGAAGCCGAGCCTGTTGGGGAGTGTTATGCTGGCATGATGGCGTGCTCTCGAAGACAGGAGTTGGATCCAGGCTGGATTTTCCACTGGTTGTTCTGTCCATGGAAGAGAACTTTCCTGCCTCCACCCTCCTGCTGATGTCCCCAAAATGCTGCTCCTGGGGGATAGCTAGGCTTGCCTGCTCCTGAGGGGGAAATTCTTGGCAATTTAGGAGTGGAGCCATGGGGAGGGCGGGGTTTGGGGTCAGGAGGGGCCTCAACAGGCTAGGATGCCATAGGGTTCATCCTCCTCCAAAGCAGCCGTTTTTCTCCATGGGAACTGAACTCAGCTGTTTTGAGATCAGTTACAATTCTGAGAGGTTGCCAGACCCTACCTGGAGGTTGGCAACCCTAGAGACAGGGGACCCTAAGGAATGTCATGAGGGGCATATCGGGGGGGGGAGTCTGCAGCAGGAAAGGGGAACTGGCATAAATCACCCTTCCTAGTGAAAAATTTAGTTTGGATCCGGCCCTCTGTCATATGAAACCAGCACTAGTTGTTTAATTGGTATGTTATTCTCCTGGGGTTTTAGATGCAATCCGTTTGTTCTTGATGTTTGCATAGCGATTGCATTTTTATTTTAATTGTTATTTGTTTGCCTACTTGTTTATTGCATTTATTGCCCACCTTTCTCGTTGTGATCAAGGCATAGTAAGGTAAAGGTAAAGGTAAAGGTAAAGGTTTCCCTTGCTCGAAAGCCAGTCGAATCCGACTCTAGGGTTGTGGTGCTCATCTCAGTTTCCAAGCCGAAGAGCCAGCGCTGTCCAAAGACGTTTCCGTGGTCATGTAGCCGGCATGACTAAACACCAAGGCGCACGGAACGCTGTTACCTAAATTGTTATTTGTTTTCCTACTTATTGCATTTATTGCCCACCTTTCTCATTGTGATCAAGGTATAGTACAGAGTTGTAAAAATGATGCAGTACAGTCCTGTAGGTTGCATACATTGAACGTTTCAGTAAAACCAGATTATACAATGGGAAAAAAAAGGAAATAAAGGCAGCATAATAACAAAAGACACTGGCATAGTACAGAGTTGTAAAAATGATGCCGTACAGTCCTGTAGGTTGCATACATTGAGTGTTTCAGTAAAACCAGATTATACAATGAAAAAAAAAGGAAATAAAGGCAGCATAATAACAAAAGACACTCTTACAAACACTGTTTAACTTCTCCCATGTATTCATGAGGATTTCTGCCACTCCTTTGGCAAACCTAACTAGTTTTGAGCATCCCAGCTATTTAGTTCTTATTTAGTATAAACTGATGGGACAATTATGCCTCCTGTTTTGAAAAGGTACACATGAACACAGGAAGCTGCCTTATGCTGAATCAGACCCTTGGAGCTGAGGATTGAACTGGGGATTTTCTGCGTGCCAAATAGATGTCCTACCAACTGAGCTGCAGCCCCTCTCCAGTCAGGAGACTGGCTGTAGAAATGCATTACAATGGGGAGCATTTCCAACACACAGGCTCAGTAGAACCACAGATACATATTTTGGGGAAATTGCAGTCAATTTCCCCCCCTGCTCTTTGCTTTGTAGGATGGAGAGAACAGTTCCCTGCTGCACGACGACATTTTAGGTGCCACCCTTGGGGGTGTCAGCATCACCAATCTCAGCCAACCAGTGGAGATCCGGTTTTGGCACAACCTCAGGCCGGTGAGTAGCGAAAGGCCAAGGAGGAAGTTGGCAAGGCATGCCTAGTAACAAAGTGATATATTTTTTTGCCATTTCATTAAGACAGCTTCTGTCTGAGTGCTCGATCAATACATGTCCCAATCACATTTTGTTAGTAACGTATTACTCCCATAAATGCTCCAAGCCACAAGTTATTGGGGGGCTGCAAAGTTTTTTTGGGAATTTTTGGAAACGTTTTGGAATTTTGTAAACTTTGCAAAATGTATTCAATGAAAACTGGATTCATTTTTTGAGGGGGAGGGTAGGGTAGGGTAAGGACAGTAGTTTTGCTGTGTGGAAAAAGCCTCCTTGTAGGAGAAAAAGCTTTGTTGATAGCACAGGGTAGTGTAGTGGTTAGAGTGGTGGACAAAAACCAAAGAGACCTGAGTTCAAGTGCAGCTTGCCATAAAATGTAGGCCGCTTCCCCACACCCACATTAATGCCATTTTCTTTGCCCAGGTCTCCCACAGCTATCAATCCTCCCCATCAATGCCTCTGGTAGTGGGTTGGTTTTTTTTAAAAAAAATCAATAACTGAGATATTGCTGTAGTCTTATGATGCAATAGTGATATGTCAATTACCTTTTTTTAAAAAAAAGCTCAAAAAAGTCCTCCAGTTGCAGGGGGAAAGAGGAAATGACTGAGGGAAGGAAAGTGTGTGGGGGAGCTACCCTGTGGGTGCTCCATTGTCACTGTATTCACAACCATTAGAGCCACATGGAGAATCATAGCCATGTGGAAGCCCTCCAGGTGACCATGGACAAATCGCATTCCCCCAGCCTAACCTACCTCATAGGGTTCTTGTGAGGATACAATGGAGAATGGGAGAATGTTGTAAATCATTTTGGGTCCCCAGTGGGGAGAACAATGGGGTGTAAAGAAATGAACACATAAAGAAATACATAAACATTATAGCTCAGAGCAGAGGCACAGCTGAGCAGTCCTGCTTCGAAGCCGGAAAGTGTGGGAGGATTCAGGGTACCAAGGGATGGAGGGAAGCCATTCTTCACTGTGCAAGAGCAAAATGCCTTCTGCCTCGCATACACAGGGCTTTTTTTGTAGAAAAAGCCCAGCAGGAACTAATTAGCATAATAGGCCACACCCTGACACCACAGCTCATTAGCATATTAGGCCACACCCTCACGTTACCAGAAGTGTGGTCATCCAGCCACACCCACCTTTTGCTTCTTATTCTGTTTACCTTGTTTGTTGTCAAAACCCAGGGCCTTTTTTTGTAGCAGGGACTCCTTTGCATGTTAGGCCACACACGCCTACTGTAGCCAGTCCTAATGAGTTTCTGCTGTTGGGTGTGGCCTGTTATGCTAATGAGTTCCTGCTGGGTGTGGCCAACTCAGGAGCCAGCCGAAACTCCGTTCCTGTGCGTTCCTGCCCAAAAATAGCCCTGCGCATACATATAAGGGAATTGTACAGAATTCGGCCTTAGAAGAAAAACAATACTGGCATGTTTTCTCCTTCTTCTATTGTAGGCCGATGATTTCAACATAACCTGTGTCTTCTGGATGGAAGGAGAAGGTAATATCAGCTTTCCATCAACTGCGTTTATCTTTTCTTTTCTTTTTTACTGTAACTCTGTGTGGTCTGATTTTGCTCTCTTGGAACTTGAGAGCTGTCTTGTTCCCCCTAGTGGGCAAAAGTGTGAGGTTCAAAGTTATAAACAAGCAGAGAAATGTTAAAAGGGAGTATTTCCCTGCAGTCCTGAAAACTGTATGTTCAGGATGCATGCCCCGAGTTTCCTAGTATTGTGCTAGGTGCTGTACAGCATGAAACAAAAAGACAAGTTCCTGCCGACGGCTTATAGTCTAACACAATAAAACATAAATGGAACAGGGAGTCGGAAGGAATAATTAAAATAAATAAAAGGATTAAAGTGCCACTAGGACTATACAAGTCCTGAATGGATACAGTTGCAGGGACTGCAGGCGCTGACCTTTATCGGAATGGTGTCACTTTGGGTTTAGAGAAGAGGGTTTTGGCGTTCTCTGATCATGGTTGTGATTCTTCTGTTGGGCAGGAGAGGGCAGCCTGGGAACATGGAGATCCTTTGGTTGCAAAACTCTCACCCAGGAAGGCATCGTTGTGTGCCAGTGTTACCACCTCACCTATTTTGCTGTTCTGTTGGTAAGCATGTTGGTGATCATATTCTCTTTGGGGCCTAATTGTCAGGAAGGGCGTAGACCTTTGCCTGAGCTGCACTGCTGCAGATTGTGGACAGGTCCACACAATGGGATGCTTCTTCATACAAAAAACCATTCTCCACAGGGTTTGGGGGTTGTTGGGTTTTTTTGAAAACGAGGTGCCAGAACTCTCAAGAGGGAAATGAAGTTTTCAATCTGTATGCTGAGAACTCTTGAACTTTTAAACATTTTAAAAATTATTTTGTCAAAGATGTTCCGAAACGCCATTCCCATGTGTTTCCCCAAGAAAAAAAAAGTCCTGGCTCCCCACATGTAGAAAGACTGTCTTCAAGAAGAAGCCTTCTTGATATGATACTCTTCCATACGCAGGGTTTGTTTGTTTTGGCATGGAGGTATGATCTGCTGTAAAGCCACAAAATCAAAGTGGCAGAATTCCTGATAAGAGTAGAAACCAGGGGGTGGGGCAAATCTCTACATCCTCCTATGGAGCTGCATCCGTACAAGTGTGAGGATTTCCCATGTGGCTTTCAACGCTGTTGCAAAGGCAGAGGCATTTGCTGCGACAATGGAGCATCCACATTATTGGTTGAGCAGTGAATTCCTGTCCCATTCCAGCCATCCTGCAGCTTCCCCTTCTCATCCCTTTCCAGATAATCTGGACAAAACTGCCTCCACCATTCACTTTGTACCTTGGCAACGAAAATGGGTAGGGTTTTTTTAAAATGAAAGCCAATAAGTTAGGAGAACTAGTAGATTGTGGCAATAATGGCAACAGAAGATTCCGACATTATTGGTCTATAGTTACAAACAATAGCAATTACCATTTTTTTTAAAGGCCCTTAAGAAACTCTGTAGTGGCACAGTTTGGGGGAAATTATGGCCACAAGGGGCTTGGAAGGAAAATGGTTTCCTTTTTTAAAAAATAAAGAGAGAAAAGGTACATGGAGAAGGATCTCTGGGCTGCTTCGACAGAGATGAGAGATCTCCTAAGCAAAAAGCCTGTTGCCGTTGCAAGACTAACATCCTTCCTTCCTTTGTCTGTGCACGCCCTTCCTTCCCATCTCATGCAGCAAATCTCTCCACCCACCTTGGATGAAGGTCTGTTGGTCGCTTTAACCTACATAACTTCCATTGGCTGCAGTGTGTCAGCTGCTGCCTGTCTGCTCACTGTCTGCCTGTACTGTTGCTCCAGGTAATTGTACCTTTGCTTCAGGTAGCATTCAAGCCAAGGAGTTTCCTGGGCTGAAGAGGGATGGTGGTTTTTAGGAGTGGTGAAAATTGTCTGAGAGAGGCTTTGCTTTCCAGGGTGCCTGCACACATTTCTCTTGACCCACTGTTACCTCTGGTGAAACAGGATCTACAGGTTAGGAGAACTAGGGCAGTGGTGTCATGTGACAGCCAGTGTGGTGTAGTGGTTAAGAGTGGCAGACTCTAATCTGGAGAACTGGGTTTGATTTCCCACTCCTCCTCCGCATGCAGCCAGCTGGGTGACCTTGGGCCAGTCCCAGTTCTCTCAGAACTCTCTCAGCCCCACCTACCTCACAAGGTGCCTGTTGTAGGGAGAGGAAGGGAAGACGACTGTAAGCGAGACTGCTTTGAGTAGTGAAAAGCATGGTATAAAACCCAACTCTTCTTCTTCTGTCCAAAACCCTACAAAATTTGTTTACCAGAAGCCATCCCAGTGCAGTCTTTTGTACTTATTGCCTTCAAATTTCAGGGGTGGGGGGAACCCAAACTGTTGCTGGTCTCCAGCTGTAGCCTATGAAGAGAAGAGGGTTTCAGAAGGTTTTGACTCTTCATTACAAGGTCCCCAACCTTGCTGAACCCAGGGGTACTCTGGGAATTTTGAGAGCAGATAGTACGTGCCACCACAAAATGGCTGCAGTGATGGAACCAGGCTTACCTCCTGCTGCTGCCACTACCCCCCCCCCCCTGCTCAGCCAGGCACTGGGGGAAAAAAGGCAGGCAAAATGGGGGGGGGGGGGGGGGGGGGTGGGGCAGGCAAAATGGGGGGGGGGGGCTGGTGTGTTGGTATCACTTCCAGCATGATCCAGAAGTGATGTCATCGTGTGGGGTATTGATTTAACATCCATCCAAACTTCTATGGTTAAACCATAGACTTATGGGCAGAAGCTAGAGTATCACCCTGTGATCACATCTCATCTGGGTGGCACTGGAAGTGACAACATCATGTTGAGGAGACAGCCCACCTGGTAAGTCCCTGCCCCCCTGTCTCCTGCCAGTTGCCAGCCATGTGCAGGCAGCCCTAGCGTGACCAATCGCAAAATGGCTGCCATAAGGACTGGGTCCAATCAAAAAATGTTGGGAGGTTCAACAGAATGCTAAGAGATCCCAGACCAGCATCCTCCTGTGATGGAGGCAGCTGTTTCCACCCACTTTTCCAAAACACCTCCTACTCCAGTGAAGTGGAGGAATGTCAAGATTGGTTCTTTGCTTTAGGGAAGATTTGCCAAAGAATCAAATGGGCACCAGGAAGCACTGGGGATCACACCCTGAATTCTAACTAGGCCTTCCTGAATTCTGAGGAGAATCCTTCTAGGGAAGTCTCGCCAGCTGTATGAGATCAGGAGCTCGTTTGGGCATTTGATTTCTATAATTAAATGTGGTCAGCTGGCAACTAGTCTGGGCATCAAAGTCTACCCCACTGGGAATGGGAGGAAAGAGGGAAGTCATGATCTAGAGCTGTCTGTCTCCAGGTTCTGTTACTGACAAGGAGAAAGAAAAGAGAAAAAGAAGCATTGGTAAAGCTTTGGGGGGTTATTTTACGGAGACACGTATGCATGTTCCCTACTTACCCCCATTGGACATTTGTGGGGATCCATTAAAATGAGAGCTTTTAAAAAGTTTTGTTTTGACTGGATTTTTATCCTAGCCTCCATACTAAGTCAGTTCATCCATGTATGTTAATGTATCCCTAAAGAAAACACAACAGCGTGGAAAACCTGGCATTACTGATTGAAATATCACCCTTGGTTTGCTGACTTGATTTTGGTTACAAATTGTTTCCTATACTTTTCAGTTTTTTAAATGTAGTCCCTGAAAAGAAGGATGTGTGGGATTTGTAAGGCATTGCTGGATAGTCAAAGTGTGTGGGTAGTTACATAGAAGGGATTGGGTGGGGGGGATGAAGACACTAACCTTAACTGCAGTCTTGAGAATCCCCATGCAATTTGGGGTGGGGCTTTCACTCAGTAGTAGAGCCTCTTCTTGTCCCAGGTTCAATCCCCAGCATCTTCCATTAAAAGGACCATGTAGTCCGAGATATGAAAGACCTCTGCGCAAGACCCTGGAGAGCCACTGCCAGTCTAAGTAGACAATACTAACCTTGATGAACTAGTGGTCTGATTCAGTATAAGGCAGCTTCATGAGTATTCAGCTGTTTTTGTTGTTGTTGTTCAGTCGCACAGTCGAGTCCGACTCTTCGGTTTATGAAAGATGTGTGATGGCTCCTGTCTCACCCAGCCAAACACTCTCCTTTCCAGACTTCAATCAATACCTGAGTTTTCAACCAGTCAATCCCTGCTCTGCATATGCCCTGCTCTCTGTTTTAACTGTAGCATGAGTCCTAGTCACTTGATTTTTTAAAAATTAGGATCTTGAAGGATGCAAGTCTGTGATTCACAGTCATGAGCACAGAGGGAGTTCAATGCCATCGAATTCCCAGTTTTCTATATAACAAATCAGTGCTAGAGGAAGCAAACACAGCAGAGGGTCTTTGGGTGGGGTAGATGTGTGACTGGTGCTGTCCTCTTCTTCTCGCATTCTTTTGTGTCAAGCCAACAGAAAGTTTTCTCCTTCGTTGCAGGAAGAAGCAACAGGACTTCACTACAAAAATACACATGTACCTCCTGGCAGCTCTTTTTTTACTGAACACGTCATTCTTGGTCAGCAGGCTGCTGGCATCGGTCACTACCGCGTGGCCATGCCAGGTTGCTGCGGTATTCCTCCATTACTCATTGCTTTGTGGCTTGACCTGGATGGCGCTCGAAGGTTTCCATCTCTACATGCTCGTGATTCGAGTCTACAATTTGTACATAAGACGTTACCTCCTCAAGCTGTGTGCTGTTGGCTGGGGTAAGGATCAGGGGTGAGGACTAGAGATATAAAATTTCCAGAAATTTTGAAGCTTGGAAAAAAACCTGGGTTTTTTTCCTGTTTTTTTTCGGGGGGAAATGGAAATTTTCGGAAAAATTGACTGTTGAAGTCCCCCCTGTTGAAGTCCCCCCCAGCCTCTATCCCCAATTACTTTAGGAACATAAAATATGACTATGGACATTTTTACTTGGCATGAAATTATCACAACTAGCATATTAAAAATATAGTGTATCCAAACAATTATTACAAACAGAATACCCACCCACATGCAAAAACAAAACTGAAACCTTTTTATTTTCTTCTGACAACAACACCTCCTAAAGGAAGAAATGCATCTTGTTCTTGCATTGGAGAGTTCAGTTTGTAACCTAGGACTTGCTTGTCCTCAGTGCACAGAAATTAGATCAATCTGATACCATATATATATATTTTAGAAATGATTTGGAAAATATTTGAACACCTTGTCTTAAAATATTTTATTCATCATGTTAAAATAAAACGTTCCTAAATCATCTTTTTTCTTTCCTTTTCTTTTTTCAATTTTTCCAATTTTTTGGAAAAAAACAAGGCTTCAGGAAAAAATGGAAAAAACCGCCCCCCCCCATTTTTCCGGTTTCCCCCCGGGCCTTCACAT